TTACTCACCCTGCGCCTCTCAGTTCCACTCCCCGCCACCCCCCCCCAGCGGGGGGGGAGAGCCAGATCCTCAGCCCCTGGCCCTCAGACAGGGCTGCTACAGAACTGGCAGGGCCAAATGCAAAATTTGAATGCAGGACCCCTTGTTCAAAGCCTATTAGGAACTTCAGGAAGGGAAGAGCAACGCGTTAAAGCCAGCATGGTGCCTTGTGCGCGCAGAGCCCGGGGGACACTGCGCAAGTGGCCGCGGTCGTGCGCCCAGAAGTCAGCGCGGCTCTCAGGACCTCCTGCGTCCACCCTTCAGCCCTGCCTTACGACTGTCCTCATACAACGACTTAAAGCTCATGTATTCGCATGAGTCTAGGGACAACCCAAGAGCAGGGCCGGTGTAGGTTTTACATATACAACTCTGTCTTCCCAGGTCCCAGCACAGCTCCTGGCACAGAGTTCAGGAAGTATTCTAGAATGAATGAACGGAAAGGGGCGGAGAAGACAGAGCCAGAGGAGAGAAGGGTGCATGGCAAGACTGGATGAGACAGAGAAGGACAGAAAAAAGCGAGGGAAGGGGGGAATGGCCGAGAAGGAGGAAGAGGCAGGGGTGCAGGCAGCGGGGGTCCAGGGAGGGGAGGCCGGCAGTACTCACAGCTGGTCGAGGGGCTGTCGGTGCCATCCAGTTCTGCCCTGGGGAAGCTGTGCCCGGAACGGGCTGTGAGCAGGGTTGACTCGATGGCCCTCTCGTGGGCAGTGAGCACAATGGTGGGGGCCCGGCCCCCAGCCCCGGGGCCTGACAGGGACTGCTGCATGAAGGCCAGCTTGTCCTTGGTCCTCCGTTTCATGTCATCCCATCTGTGCTTAATGTCCTTGACGGAGCGGGGGACCTGGCTGATGGAGGTGATTTTCCGAGCTATGCCTTCCCAAATCTTGTCCCTGTCGGCATGGGACAGCCGCATGGTCTCCCTCCCAAAGAGAACCGCTTCGTGGTGGGTCACCTCCGTGACCAGAATGTCCAGTTCCTCCTTGGAGAACTTGGGTTTCCTCTTGCGCTCAGCCAGGGGCGCCACATTCCTTGGGTTGAATATCCCACAAAGCACAATTGGGTAAATGACCGTCAGGGCGGGTGGTTCTCCTCCTTCCTAATTGCCGGCCCCCAGCTGGGGAGCCAGGAGGCACCTGGGCACCCTCGCCCGCTCACCACCACCACACCCTCCTTCTAGCGAGAGGCCCCTTCCCCTACTCCTCGGAGGGCAGGAGGGCAGGAGAGGTACGGCGCAGTGGGTGGGAGCGCGGCCCGAGTCAGACGCCTTCGGTGGCGGGCCCTGCCTTAGCCCTGGCTAGCTGGGAGAGCCCGGGCTGTGCACTCAGCCTTTTCCAGAACCCTCTCCCCGGCCGGGTCAGGAGTAACAAGCACACAGACCTCGGGGTTGTTACGAGGGAGGGGAAAGCAGAATGATGTCCGAGAGCTTTAAAGCCCTCCACAGGAACAAAGGGTCCTTACTGGGGTTAGGAGCAGGCCATTGCCTCTACAGATGGCTCGCAGGAAGAATATTTAAACAGGGCGACTATTTACAGCGGGCTTCCCGGTGTGTGGCCTTGCTGGTGACGCCCGTGATTAGGGTGTGGTCACAGAAAGCTCACTCTGTCCTGTGGCTCTCTTCGTCTCCCTCCCTGGCTCCCAAGTGCCCCCCAGGCCTCCACCTCTGGGTGTGTGGAGGCTCCCCTCGACTACAGTCCTGGCTAGCAGCAGCTCTTCTGGGGTGGGCCGCGTGGCCTTTAGGCCGCTCAGGGGTAGAACGGGAGCAGTCCGTGAGCGCCCACAGGGAGACAAGTTCCGCTCTGACGGAGGCCAGGAGTGACCTTGGCTTCCATCTGCAGAGTAGCCAGGGGCTGCTTGACTGACTGAAACCTTGAGCAAGAACCACCCAAGAGAGGAACCCAAAGTGCGGAGGAGAAACCCGGAGCCCGAGTCACTCCTCCGGCTGCTCCCCGCAACCGCGGCGAGAGGCTAGGGGGCACAAAGATCCTTCAGCCCTCACCTCCCCACCCCACCTACCCAGAACACCATGGCTCAGGGTAAAGGAAGGCTGGGGCTTTGTTACCAAGCCAAGACAGTGCCAGAGGCCCGGGCCCCTCAACATCGTCACTCACCCTCACTCACTCAGAGTGACCTGGAGCTAGACGCCGAGTCTCCTGCGCAAACCCGCCTCCCCCTCTATCAAATGAGGGTGCTAATTCTAGAGCCGCTTCCCAGGGCTGCCAGGAGGAATTCCTGAGGGGTTTTTCAGTCTCACCACTATTGGCATTTGGGGCTGGAAACTTCTTTGTGAGTGGGAAGGGGTGTCCCGGGCCATGTAGGATGTTTCTCAGCATCCTTGGCATTTACTCGCAGACCTGTGACCACCCAACATGGCGGGTGGCAAAACAGCCCCTGGTTTCAGACCACCGATCTCATGAATGCAGAGCCTCTAGCATAGGGATGCCGTAAAGTCAACACTCATTACTTTGATGCCCGTTCTCTTCCCGGCCCACCACTTAATTTTTTGAAAAAACTCACCAACTCCATCCAATCCCGCACAAGACCCTAAGTTGTCACAGTACAAGAGAAGATGTCTGCACACAGGAGTGAGCTATCGCAAAAGGAAGCTATACATTAAGGGGAAAGGCAGGTTCCCAGCATGAACTGGCTTTCCCCTCCAACTACCACCAGAGGGACAGCTCCGTGGCAACAAACCACACCCCCAACCCCTACCTACTCCTTGAGTGTTGAATGAGAGGGGCCCCAGCAGCTGTGACTGCCCTGGGGCCATCTTGCATCAGAATGGAGCTGGCAGACAGGACAGGAGGGGCTGGGGACAGACCCCAGGCCAGCAAGGCAGCAGAAGCAGAACCCACCCCACCCACAGCCCAGGAGGCCATGCTTTTGCCTGGGCCCTTGTACACAAGCAGAAAGAATACGGGCCCAGAAGTCCAGAGACAGGTTCAAGTCCTGGTTCCGCCCCTGACGGCATGATCTTGCATAAGATCTTGCCCTGTTCTGGACCTCAGTGTTACCGCTGTAGCAGGAAGGGCAGAACAGAGGAGAGGTTCTCAAGAGCAGCATGTCAGACTCGCTATGGAGAGCTTTAGAAATACCAATACCGTGGGCTCATCCTCGGCCCGATGCAGTCAGAATCTCTGGGGTGTCGGATGATCGCTAAGTTAGCTCAGATGATGTCTTTCCCGAGGGTTGTGGTAAAGCCTTGTCCCCAGGGTGAAAGATCAGTAATGGGTGGCATCGAGGCACAGAATCCGCTTGGCCTGCAAAGCTTCTGGAGCCTCGGAAGCAACGGTGCAGAAAGGCCCTGAAGCCAGACTGCACTCAGACACACGCTCCTTTGCTTGCCTAGAGCCAGACGGGAGCCACAGGGAACAGAAGCCCAGGCCGGTGGTCTGGTCCCCACTTCTGTGTCCCTGGTCACAGTGCCCTCAAATGCAATCCTGGCCCCTGGGAGGGCCCAGCTCAAAGACCCCCTGCTCTGTCATCTGGGCCCTTGCAGCACATTATCTGTGCCTTCATTTGACAATGGCAGTAGAAAAAAAAACAATTTCCACGGTGGAAGGTGGGAGTCCTGGGAGGACCTGGAGGGCCAGTCCATCGAGGGCACCCCGTTACACGATCGGTTCTGCAAGTGGGTGGGGACTTACAAGGGCCGAGCTGACTGGCACCGGGTGGTCGGGGAGAAGGTGGTTAGGAGTGTGCCTGTGGCCTTCTCGGAGCCCCCTGTAGGGCACCAGCGCACCAGATGATGTGAAAGGGGGCTGGAGGGAGGGGTCCACCTGTCCCTGGGCACCTCTGCTTCTGCCCCTCTTAAGGGGCAGTGAAAAGAGCCGCCCCGACAAATAAGAGGACAAATCCCAGCGTGCTCTGGAGAGTGTAAGCTGCAGCCCCTCTCGCCCTCCCAGCCCCCCATCCGCAGCTCTCAGGTGGGGAGCACAGGTGGGCAGGAAGGCTCCGGGGAAAGGGACAGCAGACCTCACCATAGCCTCCCCACCTCCAACCAACTTCTCCTCATTTGCTTGGAAGGTGGGCAGAGTTGAAGTACAGCAAACGCTCTCTTAGAAAGTTCCTGACTGCCCTCCCTCTGAGCACAACCTCTCCAGCATCCCCCCACCGCCACAGGTCACAGAACCACACAAACGCCCACAGAGGGCCCCACCCGAGGCCCTCCTATCCCTCCCAGCCCGGATCCACACCCCGTCACCCCTTCTGGGGCCCAGAGAGGGGCACCAAGGAGGTGCCAGTGCAAGTCTGACCTCCCACACAGCGCACAGACCCCTCTGGGCAGGGCCCTGGCACCCCTGCCCGGGCCAGCAGCACAGAGCCAACAGGAGAGCTGTGGGCTGAGTCCTCAGTTCCAGGCTCAGTCCAGCCACCCCTGGGCAGCCCTGGGCCAGTCTCCTGCTCTCTCTGGCTGGCCAGGAAGGATCCTCCTGGTGCAAACTTCTGTCCCAAACACGGCACGACAGTAAAACCACTCTTAAAAGTACTCATGCCCGGGCAGCAAGTACCATCAAAAACTGAGCTAGAGACTGTGCCAGAAGCCTCCTTTTCCATGGGGCCACTTCAACAAGTGCTGGCAGCTGCACTGGGGTGAGTCCTGCACCCTTCCGGCAGGAGCCAGCCCTGTGAGAGGGGTCGGAGTCCCAGGTGGAGGGACACCCCCCTCCGTGGCGGCAATGCTGCCCAGAGCTGGGGGCCCCGGGCACTCCAGACACAGAGACAAATGTGCAGACGTTAGGGGTCCCTCTGTAACCCACAGGCCTCCTCCAGAGCCCCCCGATGGAAGGCTGGAGAAGCCAGAGGGTCCCCCAGAGCTCTACACATCCCAAACCCTGCAAACAGCAGTCCCGGGGCCTTCAGGGGCCTCCACCACTGGAGACCTCATAGGCCCCAGCACACTCCCTTGACTTCCTTTCCGGAGTTTGGGCAAGGCTCCCGGGAAATCAGCAGAAAGCAGGACTCACCTCATCCAGTTGGCTTTAGTCTCATCTGACCCATCTATGGACTTGTAGCGGTTATTCTTGTCCACAATCTGGAAGACAGAGAGAGAGTCTAGAAGGCTCTACCCTCGAGAGGCTCTCATGTCCCTGGGCTCCTCCCCAAGCCAGGGCCTCCCTCCCTTCTGCTTGCCCTCCTGCTATGATGCAGGACTGAAAACCGAGCTGGGGCCTGGAATCCCATCTCCTTCTCCTGTCCTAACAGAAGACTGGGAACATGGTGGATGAGCAGCACTTCCAGGAGCCCCGCACTGCAACGCTGGAAGTTAGATCCAGCCCTTCTTCTCTCCCTCTAGCTTCTGTGAGAAACAGAGGCCATCACTGGATGACCAAGCACATGTGAGAGGGGCTTCCTCCTCTCCCCAACCTTGAACTGGTCAAGCCCCGCAGGGCTGGGCTGGGCCCTTCACTTCTGTAAAATGTCCTGATTTCCTCATTGCTCTTGAATCAGGGTTCAGCTGGGTATGGAGTTTGAAGCAGACTGTTTAATTTTCTTTCAGCCCCTGGAAGATTGCCCAAAAGGCTGCCACAGGCTGTTCAGGAAGCTACTGTTACTCTTTTGTGGATAGGCTGTCGAGGGTAAAATTTAAGACTTTCCCTTCATTTTTGATTTAATGCAATTTCCCTCTGTGGTTTTGAAGTGGAGTATTTACTTCCTTAAAATTCTCATTACTCGATGAGCATATTCCTTGGTGAAGACATATCTCTTCTTCCATTCTGGAAAATTCTGAGAAACTCTTAAGTTTTTGAGTACAGCTTCTCAGTCATTTTCTCCAGTGTCTTTGTGTAGAATTTCTATTAAACATATTTGGGACTATCCCCCATGTCTTTTAACTACCTTTGTCTATTTTTCTCTCTCTCTTTTTCTGGGCAGTGCTCTGAGAATATTCCTCAGAACTCTCTTCCGGTTCACTAATTCTCTCTTTGACTGTGTCCAGTCGAAAATCTATCCACGTATTAACGTTCTTCCTTTCTTTTTAAATAAGCAATTTTAATGCAATGAATATTTTTCATTCCCAAAATCTTCATATCCCTCATTTCTTCATCCCACCTCTCTGTTTCACAAAGTCACGTTCCTTCTGTTTCCCTTTCCCAACAGCATTACTGAACTATAACTGACATATAATGTACCATTTGATAAACTTTAACGACTGTTCACACCCATCGCCACAATCAAGAAAACAAACACATCCATTTCTTGTGCCCCAGAATCATCCCCTCCTGCCTCTCTCCATCCCTCCCATCCCCAGTCCACAGGCAACTAGTGAGCTTCTCCTTGTCACCATAAATTGCTTTGCATTTTCTAGGATTTTATATAAATGATATCAAATAGAAGCCATGCTCTCAACACAATTATCTTGAGACTTGTCCCTATTGATGTGTGTATCAGACTTCATTCCTTTGTGGTGGGAAGCAAAGCAGTATTCTATTGTTTGGATGTGCCACAATTTGCTTTTTTATCTACTTCTTAATGGATATTTGGGTTCTGTCTAGTTTTTAGCTAGTACAAGTAAATCTGCTAACAGAATCCAGTTATAAGTCTTTCTGTAGACACACACATCTCCTGTGGGCAAATACCTCGCAGGGGAATGCCTGGGTCACATGGTAAGTATATGTGTAACTTTTAAGAAACTGCTAGACTGTTTTTCCGAAGCGGTTGCAATATTTTACATTCCCATACAACAGCGTATGGACCCACCAGCTGGTCCACATCCTCGTCAATACTTGGTGTGGACAGTCTTTTTCATTTAGCCATTCTGATAGGCATGAAGCAGTATCTCATTGTGGCTTTAATTTTATTTCTCTGATGACTAATAATGTTGAGCGTCTTTTCGTGCAGTTACTTGTCAGCTGCATATCTTCTCTGGCGAAGAGTCTATTCGAATCTTTGCTCATTTTTAAAATTGGTTGTTTTTTCCTTATTATTGAGTTTTGAGAGTTTTTTAAAAATATTATTTTGGATCCAGTCCATCATCAGACATATGATTTACGAATGCTTTCTCCTAATCTAAGGCTTGTTTATTCATTCTCTTAATGATATCTAAGAGCAGAGGTTTTAAATTCAAACAAAAATCCACTGTTTTGTTCTTTTTAATGCGTGTTGTCCTTCCTTTATTTCTTCAAGGATCCTAAGGCTGAGACTGCTAATTATCCCTCATTATCTACTATTTCCTCTGTCCATGGTAACAGAACTCCTGGATTATAATTGGGCACCTGGCTACCTGTAAGAACAGAATACATTTTGGGGTGCCTGGCTGGCTCAGTCAGGGGAGCATACAACTCTTGATTTTGGGGTCATGGGTTAGAGCCCCATGTTGGGTGTAGAGATTACTAAATAAATTAATAAATAAACTTAAACAAAAAAAACAGAATACATTTCTTAGTTTCTCTGTTAGCTACGTTCTGGCCAATAGGATGTAGGTAGAACTGTCATGTGTCAGTCTCCTGAAAACTTCTTCAAAAGACAGCTGATAGATGCCTTTCCACCATGCTACTGCCTGGAATGCAGATGTAATGGCTGGAGTTCTAGCAACCAACTTAAACTATGAGGATAATCCAAGCACTGAGATAGTGATGAACTGGGGTCGAGCTTGGTTCCCTGAGAGCTTAGTGGGACAGAGCCACAACACCAGGCCTAGAGTGTATTCATAAAAGAAAATTTAACTCCCATTTAGCTTGAGCCACTGTTATTTAGAATCTTAGTTACTCACAGTCAAACCTATTCCTGATATGGATCCTAAACAGTTATTTTAAATTCGTTTTCAGAATACAATTTTCATTTTAGAGTGAATTCACTTGTCATTGATATTCAGAGGCTGTCTTTTTAACATTGTCTTCATTAGTTTTAGCGATTTGGTCTTGGGGCGGGGGCTTTTTTTTTTTTTTTTTTTTGACTCTCACTGTAATGTTTGGGAAAAAAAGGGTGGGGATTGGTCAAAGCATGAACTCTCAACGCATCTGGACTAGAAGCTCCTTTGCCCCCTCCACACACACCTTCTTTACCCATACTCTTTCTCTGGATATTCACATCTACCTCCAGACTCTCAACTTGTTCATTACTCACAATCTTCACCTCAAGCCCCAGCTGAGACTATCTGACTTCCCATGTGACTTCCCTTCCTGGCTGTCTCACGGGCACCTCAAACTTACCTCCCCCAATGTAACCCCCCCAGGCCCCACCCCCACGCCTGTTCCCCTCCTACTGTCCTCATCACAGTATCTGAAACCACTATCTACTCAGGTTTCAAAAAGAAAGCCATTCGTACTACCAAAAACCAAAGAATGGCACACTTAATATCGGTGAACTGTATGGTACATAAATTATATCTTGAAAAAGCTGTTAAAAACAAAAACAAAAACAAAGAAAGTTACCCTTCATCCCTTGCCCTCTCAACGCCCCCCGTCCCATCCAATCTCTCAGCGAGTCCTGCCATCAGATGTCAAAACTGCCCCTCTGGTTCCACCGCGTCCTGCTTCCATGTTGGTCTGAGCCATTAGCTCTCTTCCAGACAACTACAGGAGACTCTAACTCCCTCCCCTGATGGTGCTCTGCACTCTCCATGTTCTTCTTCCAGCAGCGACTGTCATCTTTATGGATGTAAAGCACCTCACGTCACTCACCCAGGATCACCTGCAGCACTTACAATAAAATCTGCACCCGTGGTCACAGCCTCCAAGGCCCGTGCTTGCGGACCTCCCCGACGTGGGCCTCCCTCTTCCCCTTCATGTGCTGTGGCCACAGCACCTGACAGTGAGGCTTTACACTGGATGGTTCACTGCCTACAACCTCTTTGCCCCACTCTTAAAAAATTAACAATCACAGAATTTTTCATGCATCCAGAAATTATAAAGAATAATGTGGCCGCCAACAAAAATGACCTCCAGCCGTATCCGTCCCCTGCCTTGCTCGCTTCAAGAAAACACCTCGACATAGCTGAAGACCATCTCTGCCTCCAACTTCACCCTCTCTCTCCAAGGTTAACCACCATCGTGAAGCTGGTGGGGAGCCTTCCCATTTTTACTACACAAGGAGTTTTCTAGAAACAATGTATAGAATGGTTCTGCAGGTTTGTACAATTCACAGATACCCCAGTGAACATATCCCCAGTGAACATATCCTTTTGTACCTTTCTCCCCAATGACTTTTACATGACTGGTCTCTTCTTATGTTTTGGGTCTCAGTTTCTGTCACCTCCTCCTCCGAAGAAGCTTTTCCTGACCTGAACCTAAAATAGGCTCTCCCCTGCTACTTCCTGACCTCCGCATGCCAGCCCCCCCACAGCATTATCTCTATGACATCATCTGTCACTTCCTTTTAGAGACCTAATTGCACAGTGCAGTTTTGACATTGATGGTGTTCATTTGTCAGCTTGGCCATCGACTGTCTCCCTCATTGGACCATAAGCTAGTGAAGACAAAGCACCCGTTCATGATGGTGGCCTGGCCCCAGATCCTCCATACAGCACATGGCATGGGACAGAATCCTGGCTGAACGAATGAATGGTTGGCTGAAGAGCCTTTTAAGGAAAAAGTGAATTAAAGAAAAAAAATGATCTAATGTTGATATTTTAGGAAAAAGGAAATGAGTGGTGTGCTGAAGCTGGCTGGCAGTGGCTAATAAGCACGGACTCTGAAATCGTCCAGAATTTCATGAACCAGTTGTTAAACAGCTGTTATTAGAAATTTAATTATATAAACTTACAATTCAAGAAATGATACTTTGGAGGTAATAAATACTCAACGCTTACCACTTCCTAATTATCTTCTATTTTACTATCATCGGTGCTCTTGAGGGAAATGGGCATCTACTGTATCTGCACAGTAGAAATGCTACGGAATAGCTGCTAGCACCTACCTCTTCCCACCGCCCGGTTCAGTGACTTCACGCCGGAACCTTGAAATGGGCCATGGTGGGAGCATTTACACCATGGAAATCGGCTTGCGTCCCCCACCCCCAACCACCACCACGGTGACTAGCGTGTGTTTGTATGTGCACAGAAAGTGTGGGAAACACCGTTTGAGCTCTCAACCCTGG